AAATGATGGACACCTAGGTTGTTTCCATCTTTTTGCTGTTGTAAATAGTGCTGTGATGAACATGGGTGTGCATATATCTGTTCTTGTCTTGGCTCTCACTTCTTTAGGATATATATACACCTAGAAATGGAATGGCTGGGCCTAATGGTATTTCTAATTTCAACTTTTTAAGGAATCACCATACTGCTTTCCACAGTGTTTGTGTCATTTGACAGTCCCACTAGCAACGTATGAGAGTCCCAATCTCTCCACATCCTCACCAGGATTTGTTATTTTCTGTCTTGTTGAACTTTGCTATTAGTGCTGGGCGAGGTGGTATCTCATTTTTGTTTTGATTTGTATCTTTATAATGGCTAATGATTGTGAATATTTCTTCATGTGTTTGTTGGCCACCTGAATATCCTCTTTGGTGAAGTGTCTATTCATGTCTTCTGCCCATTTTTAAATTGGATTATTTGTCTTTTTGTTGTTGAGGTGTTGGAGTTTTCTGTAAATTTTAGAGATAAGTCCCTTGTCTGATATGTTGTTGCCAAATATTTTTTCCCAATCTGTAGGTTCTCTTTTGACTCTTTTGGAGAAATCTTTGGAAGCACATAAAAATTTAATTTTTAGAAGATCCTCATTCACCTAGTTTATCTCTGCTGTTTGCACATTTTGGGTTATGCTTGATAGTCTATTTATGCCATATATAAGGGCCCCTAAATTTGCCCCTAGTTTTTCCTTGAGGAACTTTATAGTTTTAGGTTTCACATTTAAGTCTTTGATCCTTCTGGAGTTAGTTTTTGTGTATAATGTGAGTTACAGAGCTTGTTTCATTTTTCTGCAAATGGACATCCATTTTTGCAAGCATCATTTATGAAAGAGACTATCTATTCCCCATTGAATGTATTTTTGGCCTTTGTCAAAGATCAGCTGACCATAGGTTGATTGATCTATCTCTGGGTTCTCAATTCTATTCCATTGGTCTATGTGTCTGTCATTGTACCGATACCAGGCTGTTTTGACTACTGTGGCTGTATAGTAAGTTTTGAGATCCAGGAGTGTGCGACCTTCTACTTTGTTTTTCTTCTTCAGTAGTGCTTTGCTTATCTGAGGTCTCATTCTTTTCTATATAAAGTGAGTGATTGGTTTTTCCATATCTTTAAAGAATGTTAATGGGATCTGGATTGAGATTGCATTGAATGTATAGATTGCTTTGGGTAGAATTGACATTTTCCCAATGTTCAATCTTCCTATCCACAGACATGGTATGTTCTTCCATTTATGTGGATCTCTTATGGTTTCTTGAAGTAGTCTTTTGTAGTTTTCTTTCTACAGGTCTTTTTGTGTCCCTGGTAAGATTTATTCCCAAGTATTTTATTTTTTTGGTAGCTATTGTAAATGTTACTGATTTCCTTATTTCTTTTTCAGCAGTCTCTTTACTGGTGTAGAGGAATCCAACTGATTTTTGTGTGTTCATCTTGTATCCTGCCACTATGCCAAATCTCTCAGTTAGTTCCAGTGTTTTTTTTTTTTAACTGAGTCTCTTGGGTTTTCTATGAATAGAATTATATCATCAGCAAATAGGGCTAGTTTGACTGCTTTCTTAAATTTTGGATGCCTTTGATTTCCCTTTCTTGCCTTATTGCCCTAGCTAGGACTTCCAATACAGTGTTGAATAGAAGTGGTGATAGAGGGCATTCCTTGTCTGGTTCCTGTTCACCAGAGGGATGGTTTCAGTCTCTCTCCATTGAGGACAATGTTAGCTATTGGTTTTGCATATATGCCCTTTGTTATGTTGAGGAATGTCTCTTCTATTTCTATTTTACTGAGAGTTTTCATCAGGAATGGGTTTTGGATTTTATCCAGTGTAGGCCTTATCATTTTCCATCATTTACTGAGTATCATTCCAATAATCACATCTTACGTTAGATACATAAAAGTTTACCTATATAGTCAACTTTTTGAGAGATGAGTCAAATGCCTTAGGCCCTACACCACCAGAGCTCCTGAGTTTTCTAATATCAGTTTATTGGAGATAACTAAAGGTACCTTTATAATTTTAAACTAAAGCTATCCTCTTAGAATTAACTTAATCAGAAGTATTTGATTAGGTCAGATTCAGAGAGGATTTGGAACATCGTTACTGATGTTAGATGGACTTTGGATGTTAGATGGACTTTGGCTGAAAGCAAAGAATACCAGAAAGGTGTTTACCTATCGTTCTATTAACTATGCAAAGGCATTTGGCTGTGTAAATCATAACAAATTATGGGTAACATTGCAAAGAATGGCTATTCCAGAACACTAAATTGTGCTCATGCAGAATCTGTACAAAGACCAAGAGTAAGTCATTCTAACAGAAAAGGGGATACAGTGTAGTTTAAAATCGGGAAAGGTGTGCATCAGGGTTGTATCCTTCTACCATATTTATTCACTCTGGATGCTAAGCAAGTAATCTGAGAAGTTAGACTATATGAATAAGAACACAACATCAGGATTGGAGGAAGATTTATTAACAACCTGTGATATGCATGTAAGGAGCTCTGGTGGTGCAGTGCCTAAGGCATTTGACTGCTAACCAGAAGGTTGGTGGTTCAAACCCACCAGCTGCTCCACTGAAGGTAGTCAGGACAATCTACTTCCATAAAGATTTACCACCTTGGAACCCCAATGAGGTCATGATGAGTTGGAATCAACTCAATGGCAGGGGCTTGGGGATAATGCAGGCAGCACAATCTTTCTTGCTGAAAATGAAGAGGACTTGGATCACTTACTGATGAAGATCAAAGACTACAGCCTTCAGTATGGATTACATCTCTACACAAAGAAAGCAAAAATTCTCACATTATCATGATAAACAGAGAAAATATTAGTTGTCAAGGATTTCATTTTACTTGGATCCACAATCAATGTAACGCCCACTGAAACACTGGTCAGGAAATCAAACAATGTATTGCATTGCACAAATCTGCTGTAAAAGACTTCGTTCAGGTTTTAAAAAGCAAAGATGTCACTTTGCCTGATTCAAGCCATGGTATTTTAAATAACTTCATATGCATGTGAAAGCTAGACTATGAATCTTCTGAATCTGACCTGAATTTCTGGCAATTCCTTGTCAATATATTGCTGCAACCACTTTTAATTATCTTTAGCAAACTTTTACTTGCATGTAATATTAGTGATATTGTTTGATAATTTCCACATTCTCTTGGATCACCTTTCTTTGGAATGGGCACAAATATGGATCTCTTGCAGTTGGTTGGCCAGGTAGCTGTCTTCTAAATTTGTTGGCATAGGTGACTTGAGCACTTACTGCCTTGCATCCAGTTTTTGAAATATTTCAATTAGTATTTCATCAGTTCCCAGCCCTTTGGTTTTTGCCAGTGCCTTCAGTGCAGCTTGGATCTCTTCCTTCAGTACAGTTGATTCTTTTTCATATGCTACCTCCTGAAATGATTGAACATCAACTAATTCTTTTTGGTACAGTGACTCTGTATTTCGTCCATCTTCTCATGATGATTTCTGCATCATTGTTCAATATGTTGACCATAGAATCCCTCAATCTTGACAGTTTCCAATTTTTCTTGATTCATACTTTGTGCAGTCTGCATTTTGATTATTAATGGATGTTTGCAGTTCTTTCTTCTCATTTTGAGTTGTGCTACATCAGCAAGTAAAGGTCCTGAAAACTTTACTCTGTCCACATCTTTAAGGATGTCTTAGTCTGTAAACTCCACTGAAACCTGTGTGCCATACAGTATTTGAAATACTGTGGCGTAACTACCAGTGTCACAGGAACATGTAAGCCTTCAGAGTACAACAAACTGACAGACAACTGGTGGTGTCTAACACAAGTGTGCATTATTTAAATTCTGTAGTTTTAATGTATGTGTGTGTGTTTCTGTACTATTTTCTATTTAATAATGCTTACTTAGCCCTTAGTGTTCTGTGAGTTTGTGTTTTAAAAATCCTCCAAAGTAGATGGGAGATTTTTTGTTTTATTTCTTTGCATGAATTTAATCTTTTATGTATAAAAGTAATGTAACAGTGCCTGACACAAAGGGAATGGGCTCTGGTGGCATAGTGGTTAAAGCATTTGGCTGCTAACCAGAGGTTGGTGGTTTGAACCCACCAGCCACTCTGTGTGAGAAAGATGAGGCAGTCTGATTTGTAAAGATTTACAGCTTTGGAACCCTTATGGAGCAGTTCTAAGGTGTCCTAAGGTGTTCTAAGGTCAGAATTAACTATGAGTCAGAATTGACTCAACAGCAATGGATAGGTACAAAGGGAGCTCAATTAATATTTATTAATTAGTATGTCCTACCATTATTACTGGGAGCTCTGGTAGCATAGTGCCTAAGGCACTTGACTGCTCATCAGAAGGCTGGCAGTTCAAACCCACCAGCCACTCCTCGGAAGGAAGGTTAAGCATTCCTACTTCCGTAGTGATACTGCCTTGGAAACCCAAGGAGGGGTCGCTATGAGTCGGGGCTGACTCGATGGCAAATAACAACAACAACAACAACAACACCATTATTACTTTGATTTTTTTTTTAAATAACAAGTCATATTTTATTTTTTTCTTCCTGTAATAATTTTCAAATAGGACTAAAACCATTTAAAATAGGTCACTTATTTCATAGCATATACCATGTTAGGTGAAGAAGTGTTGTTGTTATGTGCCATCGAGTCAGCACCGACTTGTAGCAACCCCTCCTTGGGTTTCCGAAGCAGGATTACTACAGAAGTAGATTGCCCAACCTTCCTTCCGAGGAGTAGCTGGCGGGTTTGAACTGCCAGCCTTCTGGTTAGCAGTCAAGTGCCTTAGGCATTATGCTACCAGAGTTCCTAGGTGAAGACGTAATTTTATAAAATGATTTCATTTCTGTGTTTTGACTTTATTATTATCACTCGTGTAAACTTTGGTTATTCAGAATTATTCTCTACTTTTTTCTTTCATGATTTTATATATGTGAGTTAAAAAAATATTAATTGACCTTTTTTTTTTTCTTTTTTAGGTTGCTATGGAGTTGATGGAGAGAGTGACTCTATTATGAGTTCAGCTTCTGAAAACTCCACTGAACCTTGGTTTTGTGATGCCTGTAAATGTGGTGTTTCCCCTAGTTGCGAACTATGCCCCAATCAGGATGGAATTTTCAAGGAGACAGATGCTGGAAGGTTGATGTCATAATTCTGTTTTATAACATGTTTCATTTATATGCTTGATTTATAATGTGTCTGCTTTTCACTACAGTATTCTTCTAATTATGTTTTTCTTAGTTACATACTTTCATTTTATTGCTTCTTTGTATCTTCTTGGTATAAGCAGATATTCATAGGTGGAGGAAAGGAAAGACCATTCACTGAATATCTATTTTGCTTTTACATCCATAATTCTATTTAATCATAATAATGACCATATGCTGATATCTGTGATCTCCATTGCATAAATATAGTACCTGAGGCTCTCATGTCATTTATATAATTTGTTCAAGGCCACAAGCTGGTGAATAGTCAAATTTGAACCAGTTCTGTGTGACTTAAGGAGTGTATCAGGTGTAATCAGGAGACGAAAAACCATAAAAAATTTAGGAAAGGAAAGTTTAAAATATAAAAGAGTATTCAGAAGCTGTGACAAAAAAGTAATCATATTTAAAGGATCCCAAAGGATACCCTAGGACTGAGGGAGAATATCCAAGGAAGGACAGACTTGGAAGGATGACTCCCTCTCCAAGGCTGGGGATCAGAGAAAGTATAATCACATGCCACTTGATGGCTGAGAAGTTTGTATGAGTCAGTTCTTGGCAAGTGGATGGCTGGCTGTGCACATGCAGTAGTAGTTGGGGTGCTTGTGTGAAGCCTCAGGAATGCAGTGTTGGTATTGATAGGGCCAAGAAAAGTGACCACCAGACTGGGCCAGGGGCCAGGTTATTGAGGGATGGTATCTGTGGCCCCAGCAGAGCACTGGTAGATTTCCTTCCCCTAAACCTGCTGAGAAGCACCCTTCTTCCTATAATGTCCCTCCACTACTCTATACTGAGAAAGATTAATATGCTCACTCAAAAGGAGAAATGCAAAAGAAATTCTACCCAATTTTTGAAGAGTAGATATTGAAGACTAAATCTGGAGCCAAGAGGCAATAATTTGATAAGTAGCACAAAGATCTATGTTCGTTTCAGTTTATTTACATTCATCTTGTAGTTCTTTCACTTTCTTTGCTTTTTTCCCCAACCAGGAGACTACCATCTAAGGTGGTGAACAAAATAGGTTCTAACTTTGAGAGTCACTAATCTCTTATCCCTTCTTCTCTAATATAAGAGGTGTTCAATTTTTTATTTTGCTACCTAAGAATATTTTAGTATTTCTATTAAACATGTGTTTAATCTTTTAACAAGAATGACAACAATACAACCTATATAAATTAGCACAATTATTTCCCAAATTTTTACATTTAGAAAGATAGGCAATATTTTATTCCAAAAGAATAAAAAATAGGCTTTCAAATGTAATAAATTTTACTGTAGTGAAGTAAATAGTATTCCTCTCAATTTTGCCTCAACTTATGGACAGGCCCTTGAGCAGTGTTGCTATACAAGATTAATGGCATGACAGAATCTTCCTCAGAATCTTAGAGAACTCAGTGTGCTAGTAGTATCTGGGGAAAATAGCTAAAAATCTTACCCCTCCTTTCTCATTGTTCATCTCTAAAATAGAATAAATACATAACAAATGACTTCATGATAAGAATTCATGATATACATAACAGACATGGGCAATATTTTATATTTTGACCGACTTTACCTAGAATTAATGAGTTTAGTATAGAGTTAAAAGTGTGTGCTTTTAAACTGGACTGCTGAACTTCTCTTAGGGATTTTGGACAAGTAATTTAACCTTGTCCTTCAGTTCCCTTAGCACTGCTGAGAGGATTGAATGAGATGATTCATGGGAAACAGTGAGCATGGATTCAGGAATAAAATAAGTGCTTAATGAATGTGTTCTTACTTCTACTATTACTCCTGTTGCTTCTATTAGTACTTTCTTATTAGCATTATCATTCTAGTAATTTAACCAGGTAATTACAGAGTACAACTTGCATAAATTCCTTCTGTTAACTCTTAATGCCCGATGGTTGAAATTTTTGATGGTAAATTATGTGAGTAAGTAAGGCTACTTCTGAAAACACAGCTTACTTATTAGGGAAGAAATTTTGTTTTTCTTTTTTGCTTGTTTATTTTGTTTGTTTGTTTATTTATTTACTTACTTAAAAGCTCTATTGAGAAACAGTAAAGAAGCTGTCTCTTCATGCTATCACAATCCACAAAAAAAATTATATAAAGTTGTTCCTAAGTGAGAAAAAAGGAGGCCTCTTTATCCTTTTAGATAATTGTTGAGAGATGTTTGTATTGGCTGCTGTGGATATTATGTTTATAGACACCGTCTTTGATGATGCAAAAATTCTTTTATATTGTTTGAACATTTTATTTGTGTTATGTGCATATTTATAGACTGTCGCAGAAATTTTAGTCCTTGGTATATTTTGAAGGATCTAATTCTAGCTTGATTTCAAGGTAGCAAAAGCGAAGATTTGACAAACTATTTTTTTTGGTTACCTAGTGCTCCTCTAGGAGCTCTGGTAGCATAGTGGCTAAAGCACTTGACTGCTAACCAGAAGGCTGGCTATGAGTCGGGGCAGACTCGACGGCACATAACAACAACAACAGTGCTCCTCTAACAGAAGAGACCATAAATGAGTGGCTTTAACAAACAGGAGTTTATTCTCTTATAGCCTTGGAGGCTAGAAGTCCAAGTTCAAAGTGCCAGGCTCTAGGGGCTTGGTGAAAGTCCCTCAACCTTGGGCATCAGCTCTGCCTCCTGCTCACGGCCCACTGAAGCTACAGGCTTTTCTTCATTCAGGCAGCTGCTGGCTGCTGAGGCTGAGAAGCCCAAGGTCAACAAGTAGAAAGGCACAGTTTCAGTGTTACCAACCAACACAGCAGGACACTAATTCAACTCCAGAAGTCTCAAGATTGGCAGGGCATGGCAGACTGTTGAACAGCAACTTGGGTACATGCAGGGTTCTAGTGTACCATAAGCTGGAGACCTTCCTTAAAGTTGCTTCTTGTATACTAGAAGTGGCCCACATTCCTAAAGCAACTCAGCCGCTCCAGTAGACTCCACCATGGAGTTAATTACCAATTTCACTATGGGGAATAACTACATCTAGCTGCCCAGCCACTCAACTAGGCCCTGCCAAGTTGACATACAACCTTAACTGCCACACCATTTAACATTCTAATTTCAAATGGAAAATAGAGGAAAAGAGTAATTTATCTAGCAAATGAAAAGAAGATTTTTGTTTTTGACTTCTGTCAAATAAGTTGATTAATTATATGTTTTCCTCATGGTTGCTGATGGGAGCCAGAAATTCCTCATAGAAAATTATGTGATTTAATATGAGAAAACTATCAGTACATTTTGTCACTGAATTTTTATTTCATTTTTTAGGGGGAATATTTTACCTTGCCCTAATTTAGCATAGTGCCTAAGGCACTTGACTGCTAACCAGAAGGCTGGCGGTTCAAACCCACCAGCCACTCCTCGGAAGGTTGGGCAATCCTACTTTCATAGTGATACTGCCTCGGAAACCCAAGGAGGGGTCGCTATGAGTCGGGGCTGACTCGACAGCAAATAACAACAACAAGTTATCTTATAAAGCTGATGTGGGGAAGTGTTAGACATACTCTCCTTTCTTATGTTCTTTGTTGTCCTCAATTCTGTTGTGAAATGAAATATGGCTATGAGCTAAATTCCTTAATTTTTAAAATAAACATTATTGTGCAATAGAAGAGAACATTGAATTCTTTTAAGTCTTCTATCACTTGCTAACTTTTATTATCTTTGGAAATCATTTATTCCATCTGAGTCCATTTCTTTATGTGCAAAATGAGAATAACAATCTTGCACTCAGAGGAAGCTTTTAGAGTCAGTATTTCTTGAGTGAAGACAGAGTGCTAGACACTATGCTATAAGTACTTTATAATTTCCAAACTGCCTATGTGGTACTTGGTGCATGATAGACACTTATAAGTTGATTTTTCAGTGAATAAATGAAGGAGTGACGTACATACTGGAAATGAATTTGTTTTATATGTTGTAAAAGGCACTACAAATACAAGGCATTTCAAAATCAAATTTGATTGATTAATAGTTTCCATTCTCTTATTAGAGTCTTTTGAGAAGTATTTTTCTACTTTATCTGCTTTATTAAAATATGTGAATCTCAGAAATCTAATAGTTTCTGTGCTAGATGACAATTCTTTCTGTTTTTTGATGATTTTATATGGTGCTTGTTTTCTGCTCCTTTCCCTAATCAACATCTGTCATCATAGCTGCAAGCAAAACGTATGGTAAAGTAACAAGGATGATTATTCTTTTTTGATTACCCGATTTGTCTTAATTACAAACTTCTAAAGTATGTGCAGCTAAACAAATGAACAGAAAATTATTTAGATCTGGTATTAGAAAAGACCAAAGTTGTTTCTACTGTGATTTTCTCTCACTTTGATAGTATTTTAATAAAGACTAAGGTTGGCATCCTTATGTAAGTAGTTGGGGGTCATGATAGAGTTGTGTGCCCATTACAGTGAAATGTCAATTTAAATTTATAGTACTTGTGTGACCATGTACTAAAACGTTTGAAGGTCAGTATGAATCAAACAGCCACTGTTGGGCTTATCAAAGATAAACCCCTACGAAGTATAATGGCATTTAATACAGCAGTGGTGCATGAAAAAACTGTGCAAGTTAAATTGAGAAAGCAGCTGCTTGTTGGAGATGTGTATCTTTATATTGAACTTTACAAGATGCATTTGGGAGCTTGAATTGAAACGTTCTATCAAGAAACTCTATAGAGAGAGCCTTTTTTCTTTTCTTTTCTTTTGAATAGAGATAATTTTTAAAAATAATGTAACAATTTTCCCCGGTACCACTAGAAAATGATTATTAGTCGTACTTCTTTAAAACTCCCGTGGTGCATCACAAAATAGAACAATATAGCATTCACACATCCTCTTTAGCTGTTGTAAAGCAGAATTTGTTGTTAATATATTTAACTTAAGAGATATTTGCCACCTCATTTTTTCCCCTTTCTTATTGAAATGATACAGATCTGTTTAAATTGCAAAGCCAGTGATCTTGATTTTTGCTTGGTTGTCAGCCAGCAGAAGTGTAACTAATATTGTAAAAAAGGTTCAGACCTGTATAAAAAAAACAAAAAATAAGAAATTCAAACCAACTCTCTCTCTTTTTTTTTTTTTTTTTGGTGCACTGAAGCTCTGAGTAGTCTTTGTTTAGCATCATTCAGACTTTACAAAATATTTATACATGTGGCATATTAGTTATAGGTTGTATGATGAACCAAAAACACCAAACTCACTGCCGTGGAGTCGGATCAGACTCACAGAGACCCCTCCTTAGGTTTCTGAGGCAGTATCACTACGGAAGTAGATTGCCCAATCTTCCTTCCAAGGAATGGCTGGTGGGTTTGAACCGCCAGTCTTCTGGTTAGCACTCAAATGCCTTAGGCACTACACTACCAGAGCTTCTGTATGATGAACAGATGAGATGAATGAAACGTTCCTTACATTATAGTTTTTTTTTTTCTGTACAGTCTTTTAGTAGTCTTTTTTTACCTGGAAGGAAAGTAAGTCAAACTGCACACCAAAATTTTGCTTTAAAATAGTCCTTAGGGATTGCCCAACAGCCTTTATAAAAGAACAAGAAAGAGTTTTGCCTAATTATTGCAGAGTAACAGCTTTACAGTTCTTAAATTGGATCCTTAATTTTCAAAGTGCTTAAAATAATGAATATGAATGCCTTTCTGTGGATATGCGGATTATGTTTTGTTTCATGTGAATAGTAGTGTTGGGCAAATATTTAAGAATAATAGATAAGTGCAAAGTGCACTAAATGTTCAGTGAAAGGCAATTACAGTTAATTCAGTTGTGGCTAAGGTGCTGGAGAAGTGATGTGTGTTGCATTCTCTCTTTTTTCTGTGGCTAAATGGTGTTATTCTATTGGTGTTTCATATTATTTAGTGATATGTCAGTGAGATTTTTAAGATCTAACCATAGCATTCTTTCAGTAGTATTTTGATATGGCACATATTTTGTATCTTTATTTTCCATGTGGGAATTTCATAAAAGGGTTTGATAGCAAAATCCTGTCTTTTCTCTTTGTAGATGGGTTCACATTGTTTGTGCCCTGTATGTTCCTGGAGTAGCCTTTGGAGATATTGACAAATTACGTCCAGTGACACTGACAGAAATGAATTATTCCAAATACGGTGCCAAGGTAAGACAAAGTTTTTTTTATTATCTGAAAGAGATTTTATTTAGTAGTTTATGTGGCTTTTCTTAACACCATTAACTATAAAATGCTTACTGGTAATCATGCTGTTTATAGAGTAGTTAGTGTATAGAATCATTTATTCTTGTCAGTAATTTTCTCTGAAAGCCAATCATATATAAATTCTTCCACATATCTTAATTTAGAATAACCTGTGGAGAAAAATTAGTTCACTGGCACTTAACATGTTGCTTGGCACATAGTGAGCTTTCAGAGTAAATTGTTATTTATAATGAGTTGGATCAATAAAAATATAGTTTTCTGATTTTCCTTTAAAAGTAGAATTTATCAAAATTATGGAAACAAGTACAAGAAGCACCCTATATTTTACTCAGGTTTCTAGGAGTCCTTTTGTCTTCATGAGATTGTAATTTTCAGTCTAGCAAATGACTCTCAGCCTTGAGAGTCTTAAATTGATTTTCAGTGATTGAACTTTAGGATTGTAAGCTATAAAAACACATATTAATTTAGACCGAAGCGTATAATTACTACCAACATCCCTGGAATATCAGAACTAATTAGGCACTGATGAATTCTCTTTCCTTTACTATCTGTTGGGATATTGGGAAAGGGAGTCTCTTGAACAGGATTGGGAATCAATTAAAAGGTAGGACAGGGAGTTTATAGAGGAAGGAAGACTGGCAATCTACTTCCTTAAAGATCTACCGCCTTGGAAACCCAATGGGGGTCGCTGTGAGTCAGAATCAACTTGATGACAATAAGATTTTTTGAGGAAGTTTATAAAGTGTTATATTTTGGAAAATTCTAATATTGACAGTTCATAAATTTGACAGTTTCTGATATTGTATCCAGAATATGCTTCTTGGTCCCACCACTTATTTATTTATTTTTTAATAAGTTAAAAGATTTCTGATAACATTCAATAAATGTATATATTATTCTTCCCAAAACAGCCTGGTGGTTCAGCTTCATTCTTAGGCAGATTCTATAACCTTGGCTCCTGGGTGTGGTGCTTTCTCAGGTATCCTCTTCCTGCCCTAGTGGTAGGGAATCTGAAGACATTTCCTGTCCCTCTTCCAGAAGTAGAGTGTCCCCTCCCCTCACCCACTATTGTAGACAGGCATCAGGGTTTATTACCCTTCTCCCAGCTTAGGACTTTTGCTAGGGTGGTGGTGGGAAATAGTTATGGGATGGAGAGTTAGCAGGGGAGACACTTACAGCTGGTCGGAGGGGTTTTGTACCTTTTTCTAGCAGGTGTGGTTATTTGGTTACCCTACACTGTTAGCTTTCTGGTGGGTTCAAGAAAAGTTGTGAGTTTGTGAGATAGGAGCTTTTGTTATTTTTGTTGTAAGGATGGGAACAATGCACTTTCCAACTTTCTATCTCCTAAGTAGAAACTGTCTTATATTTTTTATTTTGTATTTTTGTCATTGTTTACTTCAAAATATTTTCTAATTTACTTTGTGATTTCTTCTTCTATAGCTTATTGATAATTTAGTCCGTTTATAATTAGATGTAACAGTTGATACAGTTTGGGCTGTACCATCTGAACCAAATGCTTTCTGTTTGTTTCATCTGTTCTGTAGTCTTCCTTTTCTTTCTTGATTTCTTTTACCTAGATACACTGGTTTTTGTTTTTTCCTTCTTTTCTACTTGTTCAAAAGTTGTACCCTCTTTTCATATTGTTCGGAGGTTATTCAAGAGATTGTAACGTCTGTGGTAGTTAAAGTTGTATGTCAACTTGGTTGGGCCTGATTGAGTGGCTGGGCAGCTGGTGGTAGTTATTCCCCAAGATGAGACTGGCAGTCAACTCCATGGTGAGATCTACCACAAGCAGCTGAGTGGCTGCTTTAGAGATGTGGTCTGCTTCCTGTATATAAGCAGCAGCTTTGGGACTGGTCTCTAGCTTATGGCACGTAGTTGTGTCGCTGTTCAGCAGCCTACCATGCTCTGCCGCCCTTGGGACTTATGGTGGACTTGAATTAATGGCCTGCCATGTGGTTTGGTAACATCGTGACTGTGCCTTTTTACTTGCTAACCTGGGTTTGTCAGTCTCAGCAGCCAGCAGCTGAGTGAAGAAAAGCCTCTAGCTCCAGTGGGCCGGGAGCAGGAGGCAGAGCCGAACCTCAAGGTTGAGGGGCTTTCACCCAGCTCCTAGAGCCTAGCATTTTGAACTTGGACTTATAGTCTCCAAATTGTAAGAATAAACTCCTGTTTGTTAAGGCCATCCCTTTGGTAGTATGTTCCTGTTAGAGCAGCACTAGGTAACCAGAACAACATCTATCCTTGATACATATATATATATGTATATATATGTATATATAATTTATTTTATTTTTGTTGTTATTGAGAATAAAGACAGCATAACATATACCAATTCAACACTGATTACATTCAGTGACATTGATTACATTCTTTGAGTTACATCCATTCTCATCCTCCTTTTCCCAGTTGTTCCTCCCCCATTAACATAAACCTACCATCCTCTAATTTCCTATCTAATCTTTCAAGTTGCTGTTGTCAGTTGGATCCCATATAGATAAACCTTAGAAGAGCCCAATACTTGAGACAGACATTCTTTACTAGGTAAGCTAAACTTTTGTTTGGTTTTAAGAAGACTTCAGAGGATATTTTTGATTTAAGGTTTAAAGATTATCTTAGTGTAATAGTTTCATGGGTTTATCCAGACTCCATGGTCGAGAAAGTCTTGAGTCCATGAGATTTGAAATTCTGTTCTGCATTGCTCCCTTTTTGGTCATTATTCTTCTATAGACTCTTTCATCAAAATGTTCAGTAATGGTAGCCCGGTACCATCCAGTACTTCTGGTCTCCTGACAGAAGATGCAGTTTTTCTTGGAGGTAATTAGCCACACATTTCATTTCCTCCTCCTTTCCTGACTTTCCTTCTTCCTTTGTTGCTTCAGGCAAATAGAAACTAATTTCTGTACCTGGAGAATCCTTGATTTTTTTGTAGTCAATTATCAGTATTGATTCTTAGAGAGTGCAAGGACTTTAGAACAGCCTGATTCCATTTATCATACCTTTTGACTTATATACAGTTGTTTCTGTGTTTTTAGTTTATGATTATTACCATTTCACACAGCAGTGTTCATTGATACTCACCAGGAAAACATTCTTCACTTCACATACCTTTAGTTAAGGTATGCTAATGATATACATTTCTAATTTTCAGTTATTTAAAAAGTCTTTTGTTTCACCCTTATTTTTCTTTTTCATCACTTTTACTTATTTTCATTTCCTGTATGACATAAATGTTGAAGTGCTTGACTACA